TTGCTAGGGACTTGCCCGGCACTTGCTCTCTACCTCTATTTGTTATCTTTCTTCTATCATTGACAGTCCCTCTAGGTTGTGGGCTGCTTGCCTGTGTTCCTGAGAAGCATCTACGGTACCAGTCTATAGAGTGTGTTTTCTTTAGTGAATTACCGGTATGTTTACCGGTAATAAACTTGCACTGTTTTATGTATATGTTTGATTACATACAGCCTTGTGACAGTTTTCCTGCATGTCATAAGCATTTGAATATAAATTAAAATGTTAAAATCAAATCTGATATTGTTTTACCTTTTATTTGGTGTGTGGAAGGTGTGCGGAAGAGGGGGTAGTCTTATACGGCGAGTATATAACAAACTCTGTATTTTGAGTGGAAATGTTAGGGGGTCGTCTTATACGCCCAGTCGTCTTATACGCCAGCAAATACGGTACATGTCATGAATCTCCATTTCTAGCCTTTGCTAAATATATCAGCATAAATAGAGGGCAAATGGAGAAATAGATGAGACACAAAAACAGAGGACAATATAACCGTCACATTAAACTTCAGCCCAATTCCACCTCTTCTTAAAAAATGACTACAAATGGAACAAACAGATAATCTTTAAGGCAAACCAATGTTAGTCAATATTCTAAGTTTTATTTCCACTGGGGAAAAAATCAGAATAAATCAATTGTGTACACCTCGTTCTCCTTAACCATTTTGACCAAATATTAAGAACAGACTGAAATAGATCAGTTTATATTTTTAAAAGAATTTCATCATCTATAATCTTCATTCTGATGATCTGACCACATCCTTACCTCGTGGAACAGAGAAGGATATAGTAGAGTTGAGGAAGTGAAACAATATAGAAAAATCCCGTTTGAATCCATGAGACTAATAACAGAGTCCCTTCTAACCTTATGGGCCACGATTCACATGAGGGAGACACATGTTTCAGGGGGTTGGAAAGACCGTGAGGTGGGAATGAATTTAAGAGAACTGTCATAAGGAAAACAAAAGAAAGATGAAAGAAATAAGGGCGAGAACTGGATTCTATTTCGAGGACCTACCGTTCCATCCCCACCACAGGCCAGAATTCGCAGATTTGGTACTTTCCTATACAACTCAAGCCTGCAGAGGAAATAGAAGAAAAAATTAACAGAAGAGCACATCACTTGCCATAGCAGAGAGAAAACACATGGCGAAAATGAAGGGTATCCCCTATAGAAAATGTATAATCGTGAATATAATAAGATCATCAGAACTAGTTACCAAGTAATCACAAGAGGACTGACTCCCAGCAACTGGATCAGAGGTTGGCAGCAAGCATCCTTTTAAAACAGCCAGCACTGGAAGGGGATTTTAGGATGTCCTAGATTCTTATCCCATAATTCCTACTAATGTGTCAGCTCATTATTTTCCTCATTGGTTTGACTTCCTTTTCCCATCATTCTCCCCTCTCCTTTCTCAAAGAAAACCATCATTAATTGGCAATCAAAAGGCCTTCTATATCTCCTCCTTATATTTTATTGGATCTATTTATTTTCAAACCTAACCTTCCCACTCTTAATCCTAGGAAAGCTTGTTCAGAGAGGCAGGGGGAGGGTACCCCACTAGCATTACTGTCGTACCCACAGTTACATCTACCTCTCACCTCACTCACAGTCAGATCCCGTTTATACACCTCAGTTTAAAGAGGGGAGATTTACTGATTTTTCTTTAGTTTAAATTGGCCTGCCTAAAATTATATCATTTTGTTTTTCATGTTGGCTCTTAAGAAAATGCATCGTTACCACCCTGCCTGCTAGAATGTTTGCCTAAGTGAAGCTGTTAATGGCTCCGGTCCAGAAAGTATTAGCTATTTAAATCAAATACTATTTGTTCCTGGAACTACTTCCTGTTTTTCCATGTTCTTTATGCTGATCTATAAAGTGTCCACCTAAAGTCTAAAGTGGTGAAATCTTAAGTAAACATCTAAAAGGGCAAAAGCCAGGTTACCAGATTTGCAAATCCAAATACAGAAAAACATAGAGAAGTCTCATAGTGTCCTCTAGTGGCAAAAATGTTCATAGATTAAGAAAATGTAAGCAGAAATTTTCATATTTAACGTTCTTCTGCATGCTTAAATATACGCAATGTACCCTCTTCCTATAGGAATATTATTTCTCTAGAAATTAAGCTGATGTGTTTTTAGAAAACAAAATATATTTTATAACTGTATTATGAAAAACAAAATATCACAACACAACGTGAAGCTGCTGTAAATTTACTCTGGCATCATAACCATACACAGGGTCAAAAGCAAAGGAAAACAAACTTCATTACAGATAGTAGGTCCCTATCAGGTCACTGGTGTCAGAAGCTGAGGTTTGCTGCTGGTAGTTACTTTCTCACTTAAAAAGAATTAGTATCTCTTAAGTTATAAGCTTTATCAGATGAAACCCATTCTGTCTTACTAGATGGATTTAAAAAGGGAATCAGAAAGCAGCACAATGTCCCCACTCTTTCTCTCCACCAACGGGAAGAAATAAGATACACGTCACCTACATCTAGACTTGATTTTCAACACTTCTAACAAAAAACAGTGAGTAAAATTCCTGAGAAGCTCAGAAAAGGGATTGAGCAGAAATTAAAATGTCTCCCCCCACTCTGATGTGAAATCCACAGGTATAATCAATGAATCAATCTCTCCGAGATGGAATGATCTAATTCAAATGTATATGAATGTATTCAAAAACAAATATGGCCCCTGCCCACAGAGACACACTGACATTCCCATTAATGTACACGTCCAAAGCTGCTCATGCATAAACAGAAAAGTGATGGATCCTCTCCATTCCCAGGCTTGCTCATAATCTACAGTTGCACATACACACGCAGCAAACACATAAAAAGTGCTCACTGAGATAACAACTGTGAAATGTGCTCTGAAGGGAATTAACCCCATGAAGAGTGCGAGGGGGAACATGAGATAGAGTTTTAAGGGGAGGACAGTACAGATGAGAAGGTAGGTGAGAGACAGTTAAAAAATGTCTCACAAGGCAACCGAATAACGAAGCTTGATGCCAGAGCAGGAAGTCCTTCTCACTTGCCTAAGATAGTACGGACCATGGAGGGTATTTCCAGACTTACGCATCTTTCGGCCCTTCCTGAGAAAGATCAAAGACTTGCCGTGGATTCAGGTACCACATGAACATCTGCAGGACTTTGGTTCCCTATAAGAAAAAAAAATGACTATAGTGGGAAGAAATTTCCAAATATTAGCTGCTTATTTAAAAAATAAAACCCATTATCTAAAATAATACCTACTTATAAACAAATTAGAGCAGTAGTTAAAATCAGGGTCTTTGGCCAATGCCCAGATTAGACATCAGCCTACTCGGTGTAACTCCGGCAAGTTCCTTAATTTCGTTAAGCTCAGCTCCCTCCTCTTTAATGTGGAGACAAGAATGCCTAGTTCACAGACTTGTTTCAAGGATAAAATGCCATACTGTTTGCAGAGCACATTACAGTGTTTCTCATGCAATAAGTGCTCCATAGATATTATCTATTAGTTTTACCATCATTACTAAATGTATGAAAATCCATGCGGGGGAGATTAGTCAGCTATGTAATTTAACATTAATTTTTACTTTAATGTGCAGATTGCTATTGTCTTTGCATAATATGAAATATGGGCAGTATCAGCTAAGTATGACTTTATTGAAAAAAATTTTAACTGAAGCAAAAGTATCGCAGGCTTCCCATTACTTAGACTACACATATATACCTTCTCCAGTTGGTGGTATCAAAGCTTATTTGACATTTTTAAATTTCCACGCCTCTAACTCTTTGTCCAAACCAAACATTTCTGTCACACATGAACATTTTGGGAAAGTTTGAAGTATAAATGTGACATTTACAGAAATGATCATCATGACCAATACAAGGCATTTCTAAAGATAATTTCTTGAAGTGAATTGAGTAAAGAAGAAATGAGGAATCTTTTTATTAAGCAGCATCCAAAGAGCTTTCAAAATGGGTAAGGTGCCTTACTTAGATCATTATCAACCACAGCAAATAATATTTGATCAGTAGGCAGAGTTTGTTGCTTACAATTATAGTTCCTTTATTAAATATCGTGGTTGCTCTTTCTCAAAATAACCCTAAGTTTTACACCTACTATGCTGTATTTGAGGGTTATCCTAGTATGGTAGAACTAGCACAATATTTGAGTTAAAAAATAACTTGGGTGTTCTAAGTGGGTGAGCATGAGCATTTATAACCCTACAGAAATTCAGCATATAAAGTAGAAGAACAACGTGTACTTTTTAGGGTGATTATGAGAATTAAATGAATCAGTAATAGTTATGTATCTTGCACAGTATGTGGCACAAAATAGGCCTGTTGTAAATGTTAGTCCCTTTCTTTTTTTGCTCCCTGCTAATCTATTCATTAAATACACTTGAGGGTGTGAGAGCTGGAGTGCAGTTGATAATTATCGCACTGTTACACCAGTTGTTACAGAGGCCAGTGCAGGTCTTTTGTCCCAGTTCCATCCAAACCTGTAATTTAAAAGTTCTGCTTCATCATGTGCTTGCTATAAATTTAGTAATAACATTTTCCCCTTGATTATTACAACTAATCCTGCAGTTTCACCAAAGGACATAGTTTGCTTCGTGTAAAACGCAGACATAGGTTTAGATACATAATGCCAACTATGTATTTTTCTTTCCACACTGCGCCTTGGTATCAAGTCTGTTGAGGATTATCCCAAGTAAACTTTTATGTTTAAGAGTCATTTCAATGACAAACCAATTTACAAAAAAATTTCCTAATGACTTGCTAGAGAATTAATTTTTCAGCTTTAGATTCCTAGAGCAGTATGAGTTGTAGAGCAGTATGAGTTGTAGATGTTAATTACTCTTTTCCACCTTTGGCTATGGTCGAGTGCTTGTCTCAATTTCAGCTTCTCCTATGCATACAATACTAGGTAATTAATATCTTCAAGGAAATAAAATTACAAAGCATTTAGAGGTTATTTTCTTCATCTAAAATTTCTCTAGAAAGTTTGAGTGACACCATTTCGTTTTTGCTCATTTTCAGTTTGTGTTAGTTGGAACACCTAAGTGCCTCCATTTATCCTTTTGAGGAAGGGGTATTAAGGCTGACAAGTTTTGCACTGCACACCTCTAGGAGGCGCCATTGACATTAGAGACCATTAATAATGCCCTCTGCAGTTGTGCGGGGATAACTCGCATAGCCTTCTTACATTACATTCAGTCATTATATAATTTCTTCTTTCAAAAATAATCTTTCTACAACATAATCAGCAAAAAAAAATCATGTGTCTGAATGAAAGCATTGCACTGTTTTAAATCAGTCCTGGTGGGTGTGTAGTCAAAAGATCTAACAGACATTAAGTCAGTTGTATTAACTCTGCTATTAACTCTAGGATAACCTACTTTCGGGCTTTAATAGAGGCAATTTATTCAATAGAACGGAATGGTTTGACAAATACTAATTCACCAGGAAAAGATCAACTTATTGCTTTCTCACTGTCGATATTAAATATACTAAGTTATTCACACAACTGTCATTCACTAACAAGTCTCAATGTGCCAAATGCAAAAGATGTGCAACTTTTGTGCGAGTCTAGTTTTCTCTAAATGAGAAAATAGCTTACAAGTTAATTCCAATACACTCTGGAGAGAGTCCTCATACACAGTTGTAGATGTAATACCTCATTGGCCATAGAACTTTTTAAGATGTGATATTGGGTATTTCCCTGGAGTGATAAAAATGTTCTTTCCAGCTCCTGGTGTTGGGGAACAGGGTGGGAGAAGAGAAAACGACTTTCCAGAATATGGGTAGATTGTTTC